GGGGGGGGGGGGGGGGGGGGGGGAGGGCATAGGGAAAAAGTTTAAAGAGAAAATCAAAACAAGCATGGTCGTTCATCATATAACTTTCGCAAGATTTTCATGTAAAAAATCTCCTTATCTGGAGATCAGTAGAACATGAAGTGTTTTAGTTCTAAATCCTACCGTGGATCATGGAATGCTGTTTCTGAGCATTTACTACTAGAGTTAATATTCTTTTGTTGCTTAAGGGAAGCCAAACTTGTGAATACAAAAACTGCAGAGGTATAATATTTGAATGTAGTTGTGATACATATGCAACTTAGTATGCATTAGAATTGAGATCATCTAAAATCTCTATTATTAGGAAGAAAAAAAAGGAAAGATCATCTAACATTTAACTTTTTTCAAATATTTTCCTATTGTATGATCAAGCACATTGGTTGCTACTAATGTGACTCAACTGCGAAGCCATTAATTTGATTTGTGTTTCTGCAATGATACAAGCAGTTGATGCCCATGCTGGAAATGCTATACAATGCCTCGAGAAAGACATCCAATCAAATCTATATGGTGTTGATTTTACTTCTTATACTAAGTCAGGATTCCTCTTTCAATGCCAGCATTCACAAGCTGGTAAGGATTGCCTTTGTATGGTTTTATTTACCTTCAAATGATCATATTTACTGGAGATTTATTTGAACAGATGCTCCCCAACGTCCCATGGTACCAAGAGCGCCGCCTTCATCAAGTATCTCTTGGTTCCCTCATGGTTGTAATTCTAATAAGTACTGTGAAGTACAACCTGTCTAAGCTGCAGGTATGGCTTGAAGTATCCCTTTCAACGTAACTCTCATGTTGAAATTTATTAGAAGCTCTCTTATGCTTGATGTGATTGATACCTTGTTTCAGTTGAAAAGTGGTTTATATGATGTGACATATGGCATCTAAATCTTTCATCATGAATGCAGGTGGTCTAATTTTGCCAGTGTTCATTTTCAGCAAACACTATAAATATGCTTGTTGATGCCAGTTAAAAATATTTATATTTTGTTAGATTTTAGTAAATCTGTGTATCCTTTTGACACAAGTGAAGAGATCTAAGAGGCATCATGTAGGGGAAGGAAATTTATCTGGTTTACCATGTCAAATTGGTTAATAAGTCTCAGCATATTACTTTCATGAAATGTGGCATACGACAGCCTACAACTAAATTTAACTTTCCAGTGTATACAGAATTCAAAATGCTGTGAGACCGACCGTATTACTGCAAAAATTTCCATGTTTCTAGCAAATTATCTTATGTCGTTTTGATAACCACGAGGTTGTGGTTCAATTCGAAGGGCAACCACTCTATGAAAATAAGCTAAGTGTTGAGATCTACAACTTCATTCAACTGTAAGCAGAGGGAAGAGAGTGGCTCTCTACCTCTAGCTAACTCACCAAGCGGAGAAGATATTTTCTGCCTAAGGTTAGATCTATACACAATTCAGCCCTCCCAACATCCTCACTTAAAGAGGACCCAACTGAGGACCGGACTGGGTAATGACCTATTTGGATTGATATGAAATTGCACATTTCTTTGTTAATCAATGGCATGTGTTTGGGATGGTGCTTCGTTTACAAAAAATAAAAAAATTAAATGGTGAACGAGAAACAAAAGGGGCTTCATTATGTTTCTCTCATACTGATTAAACACTGTGATTTAGAAAGGTTAGAACAATNCGACCGTATTACTGCAAAAATTTCCATGTTTCTAGCAAATTATCTTATGTCGTTTTGATAACCACGAGGTTGTGGTTCAATTCGAAGGGCAACCACTCTATGAAAATAAGCTAAGTGTTGAGATCTACAACTTCATTCAACTGTAAGCAGAGGGAAGAGAGTGGCTCTCTACCTCTAGCTAACTCACCAAGCGGAGAAGATATTTTCTGCCTAAGGTTAGATCTATACACAATTCAGCCCTCCCAACATCCTCACTTAAAGAGGACCCAACTGAGGACCGGACTGGGTAATGACCTATTTGGATTGACATGAAATTGCACATTTCTTTGTTAATCAATGGCATGTGTTTGGGACGGTGCTTCGTTTACAAAAAATAAAAAAATTAAATGGTGAACGAGAAACAAAAGGGGCTTCATTATGTTTCTCTCATACTGATTAAACACTGTGATTTAGAAAGGTTAGAACAATGAACGTAGGATAGCCTTCGGCTAAGTAGTGAGGATTTGCATTTGTTATGTGAGGTAGGTAACCTGGTTCATTCGTAATCACTTAGGCAGGTCTTTCTCGTAAATCCCCTGTATCTCCTGCATGCCTGCATTACAAAATTTACCTAACCAATAGCGAGAGGAATTAGTTCATGTCATGTAGACCTACTACTTAGCATATTTATGAGTTAAGAGCTTTTAATATTGACAGCTTTGTAAAATCCTAGTATGTCCTTAGGCATTGGCATTAACTATTAACTTTTGTGATGTTAACCTTCATGTAATTTATATATTCATAAATATTGCAATATATTTGTGGCCATTTTCGGTAATGAATATATTAATTGGAAAATTCCAATAGGTTTGACCAACCATTCCTAATATATTTTTTAAAAATGCTGAATTGGAACAGGATGTTTATCTCCATACAAATTGTCTTGCAATTTTGACGAACATGGCACCTCATTTCCACCGTCTAAGTGCATATGCATCACAGAGATTGGTTAGCCTTTTCGATATGCTCTCCCGCAAGTATGTCACTTGCTTTCCCTGTCTGTTGTTCTTCAACCTCAGTATACTTCGATTAGATGTTGAATACCTGACAACTTTTGGCGGCTATACTTTCTTGGGATTTCAGTTTGGTCTCTTATATGCTGTTTTCAATTCAATTTAAATTCCAGGTACAACAGATTAGCAGATCAGAAAAATAATAAGATGCATATAGGCAACAGTGAATTGAGAGAAGATGACAGCCTTTCAGGAGATATGGTAATAGGGTTTTTTTTTTTCCTTATAGTTGCACTTTTACACTATCTGGCTATCACTGGTGCATGACTATTGAACTTCTAAACGCGATTTCATTGTTGCAGTCAACGGAATTGCATATTTATACTGACTTCCTGAGAATAGTTCTGGAAATCTTGAATGCAATTCTAACATATGCCTTGCCGAGGAATCCTGAGGTATCACGCTTTAGTTCTCTACTGATCCCCACAAAATATTACTTTATTTACTGTAACTACTGATGTATTACACCCTTTCTTTTTTCTCATGGCTTATGTACTACTGTCTGCACCGGAGCAGGTAGTTTATGCAATTATGCACAGGCAGGACGTCTTTCAGCCTTTCAAGAACCATCCACGCTTTGTTGAGCTGCTTGAAAACATATTTAATGTATGTTCCTGAGCTATTATTTTTGTAGATGATGTGCATGTGCCTCTTCTCAGACCCTGCAGTGGTTGGATTCCCGTGCACTAGGCCACCCATTTTTTCTTTTCATGTGCACATGCCTATGAAGCTGTGTGAACCAGTTTTTGATATTAAACCTTCTTTTAGTCTTTGCAAATTTTGGAATTAAAAAACTAGGTTAGTTGAGAGTTGCTAAACTGCCCACAGTATTTCTCAATGTTTGCATTATTTTTTGTTTGGACTGCAATTGAGTTTTTAGATATATTGCTTTTTTTTTATAGGTCTTACATTTTTTCAATAGCCGCATGGATGCCCATAATACAGATGGTGAATGGTCAGCGGAGAAAGTACTCCAAATCATAAATATTAATTGCCGATCTTGGAGAGGTGAAGGGATGAAGGTATAAAAAAGTACTACTGGTCTTATCCATTATTGAGAATTTCTCCATAAGTATTTCTGTTTATTTTATAAATGAGGATTTTTTTTTGACAGATAGTCACTCAACTACACTTTACATATGAACAAGAGAGTCACCCTGAGGAGTTTTTCATTCCGTATGTGTGGCAGCTAGTTGTAACTCGCTGGTATATTTCCCTTCTTAGACAAATTCTATCTTTGAAATTTTATAAAAGGAGAGTAGGCATATTGATTGTACCTTTAAAATTGGGCACATATGTTTCCTACCAAATTTAAACACCTAAGATGTCCTACCATGTCGCCGGAATTTCCTTCTATTGCTACTTATGATTTTATAAAATGTCCATTCATTCTGGAATGGTGCACTTTGGAAGATTATAAACTTAATGGCTTATTGATTAGCCCTTGTTCAAATTTCTTATGATCATCAGGCCCTGTCATTCACTTCAGTGACTTACCGTATGGTATCTGCTTATACAAAAATTTTGCTCTTTCAATTAGTCTTTACTTCAGATAGAATTTACTTCCAGCCAATACACTGATGTATTCATCTTCTCACTTGCTCTGCAGTGGTCTCAGTTTTTATCCCAANACTTCAGATAGAATTTACTTCCAGCCAATACACTGATGTATTCATCTTCTCACTTGCCCTTTCTGCAGTGGTCTCAGTTTTTATCCCAAAAGCATAAATTTGTTCCAAATTGACCCGACTATAGAAGTAAGTATTTTAAGTCCATCTATATATTTGAATTTCCATTTTGGAGGTTGTTATGGTGTGTGTAAGCCTTTGAGGCCCCTTCTTGGGAAGGGGGTACGAGTATTGTGAATAAATGTTCTGAAGATTTCAGCTACTGATCGAATTTGTTTTTCATTTTATTTAACTTTTGCTTTTAATTTTCCTTGCCTTTCCCACCCCCCACCACTTCTATCTGTGCGTGTGGTTTCGTTTCTTTTCCATCATCAGTGTACGTTCACATTCCTTTATATGGTTTCTTTTATATGTTGCTTTTTACTTTTTGGTCCAAAGATGATAGTACACTTCAACAACCAGAAGTAGCCTCCCTCATACCCATATAACTCGAACCCTGAAGAAGGTGGCTTTAGCATCGAGTATCCAGGGACTTTACCAACTAAGCCAGCTAGTTCTTTGAATTTACTAATTTTTACAAGAGAGGCTGCTACACGATGTATGTTTATTGTTCTCTTTAACACCCATTTCTTTTAGGACATGTGACTCTAGGTTGAGTTTCTTACTTCTAGGAGTTGAGTATTGCGTCATTGTTTTTTTTTTTTTTTTTTNTTTAGGACATGTGACTCTAGGTTGAGTTTCTTACTTCTAGGAGTTGAGTATTGCGTCTTTTTTTTTTTTTTTTTTTCTTCCTGTGAGCAGAGCTTAATAAAAAAAATTGTTTTGCGTGATGCGAGAAAGGGAAATGATGTAGCCAGTCCCAACATGTTAACTTAGCTGATATGATTCTGTTTTGTTTTTAAGAGTATATTTAGGATGTTCTATGCATCAAAGACCACTTTTTACATACACGGCTGACCATTTATGTAACCTGACATGGTTTTTATCTGTTCTGGAAATAGGATGATAATTCAAGCGGTGAGGCCAAGCAGCAACAACATGGTGAGTTGAATGGGCATAGACCTCAGTAGAGACATTGGTATAACGGAATATAACCGGAGTAAAAGACACAGGTGTTGATGTGTATATACCCTTACACACGAAAAGCATAAACCCATTTAAGTCCTCTCATTCTTTTTTGTTTATATTTCTGAAATGGTTGCTGGGGTGTTTTCCTGTAGCTGGGTTTGATATATCTCCAATGTAATGAATAAGTGAGGATGTTCAAACCATGTTTTATAATATGCTTACCCGAATATGTAAGTGCGCTCTCTCTCTCTCTCTCTCTCTCTCTCTCTCTCTCTCTCTCTCTCTCTCTCTCTCTCTCTCTTTCCTAAATTCATGNTCTCTCTCTCTCTCTCTCTCTCTCTCTCTCTCTCTCTCTCTCTCTCTCTCTCTCTCTCTCTCTCTGGGGTGCAACTCGGACGGGTTGAGGGGTCAACTCTAGTCCAATTGTAGGGATATAATCTTCAATTCTAACCCTAGCTTTAACCCGACCTTAACCCAAGTATTATCCAAGTTGAATTCGATTTACTTAATTTAGGCGAATTTCGAGTTGAAATTCAGGTTGTCGTTACAGTGAATTGTGAAGTGTGGACTCTAGTCGTAAGATATGCCATTGAATCTATTGATTTATATATTTATTTTTAAATATGTTCGAGTTGACCTCAATTTAATATTTGGGTTGAACTTGATTTAATATTCGAGTTGATCTAGATTTATATACTCGGACTGAAACCGGTAACGCGAGTATTGTTCGAATTTAATTCGGGTTAATGTTTTTCAGTCAAGTTTCATCCTAAATATTAAAAACTTCAATTTAAGCTCTACTTTTTTTAGATTGAATTTGGGTTGACCCGCCTAATAATGAGTTACACATAATTTTTTACCATCACGTGGTTAGGTTTGTTNTTTAGATTGAATTCGGGTTGGCCCGCCTAATAATGAGTTACACATAATTTTTTACCATCACGTGGTTAGGTTTGTTGAACTTAATCCTCTCACGTATAAAAATGCTCACATTATTCTCTCGTGTGGTTATAAATGGATTCAATCTGCTACAATTTTTGTCCAATTTCACTATGCGTATGATACATGCGTTTAATTGGTGAGTTGGTATTGATCAAACTTGTTTCCCGCCGGTCGCTGGATTGGTACCGGCGAAACCGGGTGAAAAGAAAGATGAATTATTGAGTAGAAAAAAATGTAGAAAGTTTTTACCCTACCTACCTTCTCCCCTGTTCCTGAAAAAAATATTTCTGCAGAAATCTCTGGTCATACCTTCCCTTCTAAATCTATTTTTATACTCAGTTTCTTCACCATAGAAGCTATCCATTATCCAACGGTATAGATATGGTGTCAACTGTCCTATACATGGAACACCAATTTATAGACTTTGAAGAATAATATATACACCAACTGAAAACACATCTAATTTTTTCTTAAAAATTCCACTCTTATTATTGATTGGACTAAATTAAGACTATTTCGTAGGTTGAATGACCAAATTGGTAAACCCANATTCCACTCTTATTATTGATTGGACTAAATTAAGACTATTTCGTAGGTTGAATGACCAAATTGGTAAACCCATAAAAAAAAACCACCAACACTATAAATAAGTAAAACATAAGGGGTAAAAAGTGATTTACATAAAAACGAGAAAATATTCAATGCGACAGTAATACTATGTAAACAATGTTATTGTGGTTTCACTAATCAATAATAAAACACAATGTAAATAAGGTGACTCTCATTTAAGNGTGGTTTCACTAATCAATAATAAAACACAATGTAAATAAGGTGACTCTCATTTAAGTAGTTATTTGCTTACACGGAGGAAAAGCAAGTACGACTCAACAAAATTAAAAAAAAGCTTGGTTTTTAAATTCTAAATTTTTAAAAGACCCCATAAGGTATATTACTAATCTATAAAAAATTTAAATCCTGTAAATTTTAAACTCTAAAAAACGCTTTAAAAAATTAAGTACAATCAAAATTTTTATTGTAATAATTTAGATCCATGATCCAATTCATAACATTAGAAACCTAATAAATAAATAAAAAGTATTCAAAAGTCAACTCATATTTATCCCTCCTCACTCTTTCTCTAAAAAAATAAGTAAAAAATATTAAAAAAAATTAAAATTATACACTCTCTCTATGATAAAAAAAAATATAAAAGTTAAAATATTTTTCTTGTCAACACTAGTCCGTCTTTCTTTTGTCTCTCTCATATAATAAATTAAAAATAAATTAATATTTAAAAAAAAATTAATATTAAAATAAAAAAGGTCAGGGCATTTAATATTATCGTTTTAAGTCTCAAATTATCTCAAGTCACCCCTAAAGAAGAGTGAATAATTATTTACTAAAAGGAATGATTGGTTATTAATTTTTATAAAATTTATTTATTTTAATATTATTAATTAATAATACGTATTGTCACGTTGTATTACAAATGTAACGAATATTTTATTGAGAAAAACAAAGAAGTCATAAATTCAGCCTAAAAGATGACGTTTAAACGATATAACGTTGTGACTTTCCAAAAAAAAAAAAAACACTATATAACGTTGTGGCTAATCCAATAGAAATCAGCCAATCGGCCACATCAGAAACAGTAGAGAGAATTATAACTTTACACCCTGAAATATTCTATAATTTTCAATATATACCTTTAAANTGTCTCTCTCTCTCTCTCTCTCTCTCTCTCTCTCTCTCTCTCTGGGGTGCAACTCGGGCGGGTTGAGGGGTCAACTCTAGTCCAATTGTAGGGATATAATCTTCAATTCTAACCCTAGCTTTAACCCGACCTCATCCCGAGTATTATCCAAGTTGAATTCGATTTACTTAATTTAGGCGAATTTCGGATTAAAATTCAGGTTGTCGTTACAGTGAAGTGTGAACTCTAGTCGTAAGATATGCTATTGAATCTATTGATTTATATATTTATTTTTAAATATGTTCGAGTTGACCTCAATTTAATATTTGGGTTGAGCTTGATTTAATATTCGAGTTGATCTAGATTTATATACTCGGACTGAAACCGGTAGCGCGAGTATTGTTCGAATTCAATTCGGGTTAATGTTTTTCAGTCAAGTTTCAACCTAAATATTAAAAACTTCAATTTAAGCTATGTTTTTTTTTAGATTGAATTCGGGTTGGCCCGCCTAATAATGAGTTACACATAATTTTTTACCATCACGTGGTTAGGTTTGTTGAACTTAATCCTCTCACGTATAAAAATGCTCACATTATTCTCTCGTGTGGTTATAAATGGATTCAATCTGCTACAATTTTTGTCCAATTTCACTATGCGTATGATACATGCGTTTCATTGGTGAGTTGGTATTGATCAAACTTGTTTCCCGCCGGTCGCTGGATTGGTACCGGCGAAACCGGGTGAAAAGAAAGATGAATTATTGAGTAGAAAAAAATGTAGAAAGTTTTTACCCTATCTACCTTCTCCCCTGTTCCTGAAAAAAATATTTCTGCAGAAATCTCTGGTCATACCTTCCCTTCTAAATCTATTTTTATACTCAGTTTCTTCACCATAGAAGCTATCCATTATCCAACGGTATAGATATGGTGTCAACTGTCCTATACATGGAACACCAATTTATAGACTTTGAAGAATAATATATACACCAACTGAAAACACATCTAATTTTTTCTTAAAAATTCCACTCTTATTATTGATTGGACTAAATTAAGACTATTTCGTAGGTTGAATGACCAAATTGGTAAACCCATAAAAAAAAACCACCAACACTATAAATAAGTAAAACATAAGGGGTAAAAAGTGATTTACATAAAAACGAGAAAATATTCAATGCGACAGTAATACTATGTAAACAATGTTATTGTGGTTTCACTAATCAATAATAAAACACAATGTAAATAAGGTGACTCTCATTTAAGTAGTTATTTGCTTACACGGAGGAAAAGCAAGTACGACTCAACAAAATTAAAAAAAAGCTTGGTTTTTAAATTCTAAATTTTTAAAAGACCCCATAAGGTATATTACTAATCTATAAAAAATTTAAATCCTGTAAATTTTAAACTCTAAAAAACGCTTTAAAAAATTAAGTACAATCAAAATTTTTATTGTAATAATTTAGATCCATGATCCAATTCATAACATTAGAAACCTAATAAATAAATAAAAAGTATTCAAAAGTCAACTCATATTTATCCCTCCTCACTCTTTCTCTAAAAAAATAAGTAAAAAATATTAAAAAAAATTAAAATTATACACTCTCTCTATGATAAAAAAAAATATAAAAGTTAAAATATTTTTCTTGTCAACACTAGTCCGTCTTTCTTTTGTCTCTCTCATATAATAAATTAAAAATAAATTAATATTTAAAAAAAAATTAATATTAAAATAAAAAAGGTCAGGGCATTTAATATTATCGTTTTAAGTCTCAAATTATCTCAAGTCACCCCTAAAGAAGAGTGAATAATTATTTACTAAAAGGAATGATTGGTTATTAATTTTTATAAAATTTATTTATTTTAATATTATTAATTAATAATACGTATTGTCACGTTGTATTACAAATGTAACGAATATTTTATTGAGAAAAACAAAGAAGTCATAAATTCAGCCTAAAAGATGACGTTTAAACGATATAACGTTGTGACTTTCCAAAAAAAAAAAAA